ATTCTAACTGTCAGGAAATTTCCCCTCAGTTCTAAGTTGCTTCTCTCCTTGATTAGTTTCCACCCATTGCTTCTTGTTCTTGTTCTCAGTTGCTTTGGAGAATAGTTTGACTCCCTCTTCTTTGTGGCAACCCCTGAGATATTGGAAATTTTTCTACCTATGATTGATCACTTTCAGAAAGAGTAAACTAAACATTTGCTTATAAAGCGCACAAACATTTTGACTATTCCTGGGATGTTTCAGCATCACAACTCTTATAATAGCTACAAATCAATTTTACAGTATTTCTAAACAATAGAACAAATGTGCAGAGTGCTGCTCTAGGAATGTACAAGGGATCGTAAAGTTGATATCTGCTTTACTACGATGTCTCAAAACTAGTTTCAATAAATAAAATGTAAATTCATATTATTTCAAAGCCATAATTAGATTTCACCGCACAAGCTTGAATGCTTTATTATTTGCACAAAAGATGACTGAAATATTCATGTCATTTCCTAATATGGCTTCATATTGATTATTTTCAAGTGACTATTTCAGCTAATACGTATGTATGACGATGTATGTATGAGCCTACAGGTTTTTGACCATATTAATATTGCTGGAAACTATCTGGATAGTGGCTGGAATTTTGGATGACTTCACAATCAGCTATGCACGTATAGTCTATGCTTCACTGGGTGAATCAGTTCTATTAATGGATGTGGATTGGTTGCAGGAAAATCTTACTGCATAAAGTCATGAGTAATTATAAAAATATAACTTTTCTAGGTCATTATTTTACGGAATTAGTAAAAGTGCACTCTTTTCGTGTGAGAAAATAGAAAAATACATCAGATTTTATAAACTTAAATAAATACCAATGTAACAAAGACTAATAGAGTATCAACTTGTAAAAGCCTCTGTCTATGTTTTAGTCTAATAATATTTCTGAACACTATTTTTTCTCTAGTATATCAAAGGGAAGCTACATATTTTTGAGGCTGAAATAAAATACAATATTGGAAGTTTACTGAGTAGTATAAATATAATTGATCAGTAAGATCTTGGGAAGTTACCCATAAGTCTGTTCAGCTCCCTCTGAGGCATGGATTGAAAAGCTTCATTTGTCGGTGCAAACACTGTGAAGGATCTTGGCCTATTCAGTGTTTCAGTGAGGCCTGCAGATTGGATGGCAGCCACCAGGGTACTGTTAAAAAAAAACAACCCACAAATGAACAGAAATCCTTGGTTAAGAAGTTGCAAGTTTCCGAAGGCAGTATGAAATATCACAGCTACAATGCAGTCACTGCATTGCAGTGGCCCCAATTTCTACATGAAGTTCCTGAGCAAGTGACTTCTTCATTCATTTTATTGTCAGAGTTCACACACCTAAAATAAATTGTTGAACTAGAGCAAAGTGGTTAAAGAAAATTAGCAATGACTTTCAAGACTTCCCGGCAGATCGTTTTATTTTTTGAGAAGCCTGATCTACAGAGTCTTTTAGCTTTGCAGTTCCCAAACTGCTTTCATTAGAACAAAAGCATCTAAGTGGCCTAGCTGGCAAATTTGCTGGAGATGTCAGAGATCCAAAAAGGATTCAATGAACATTCTTGGTTAATTCCAGGGAGTCTGCGTGAGGTTTCCAAAATAAAAATAAAAAACTAATATGACAGTTGTAGCTCCAATATCAAAGTCCTGTTTTTTAATCTATGCTGTTGTACATAATTATGGGTTTAGATCATGTGGTTGTGACCACTATCTTGACTTCTTGACCGCTTGTAAAGATGTCACTGGTTGACTTCCTGTCTAAACAGTGTGAAAATATTTTTTTAAAAGGCTGAATGTAAATCTGTAAAACCACCCAACATATTTTAAAAAGCAAAGTTTAAAAAGCAAAAAAGGAACTTCTAAAAGACCCAACTTCCATGGATCTTCTCTTAGCATAGGTCTATGAACGCAACAGGGAGAAAAGGAAGGTGGAATTATTGTATGTTTCATATTTCTTTCCAACTGTAGCCCTCCCTGCGTGCTCATGCATAGACACTCACTCACACACCCACTTGCAAAAGCTAACACAAGGGTAAAAGCTTCTTTATGTTAATCAGTTTGAAGAGGTGGGGCATAGGAAGATGTTGGAACTGTACACAGCTAT